AGTTGCCATGCAGTGAAATCTGCAGTGGAAGGCAGACGACGAATCTCGTCGGCCGACGATGTGAAAGCTTGGCTTCGCAACTGATCGCCTTGGCGAACCTTTAATATCCAAAGATTGAGCTCTCTGACCTTGCTTACCATCACTAACATCAAATATCCGATTCAATTTCATGATGAATAAATCGCACATCATGAAATACTGATTAGGATTTCGGTAATTTATTCAGATGAATTCTGGAATAACAAAAGTTTGAAAAGTGTACAGTGAGAAGAAACAGTACCTAACACAATTTTTCTTCAATTCTCGCAATTGACTTACTACAATATTTAGTGTGAGTACATACCTAGCCAAGGAACTATTTTATACTCCAAATATCACAGATATCTATCACAATCTTCACATCTACAACCCATGCTTATAAATTTGGTGTGAGTATCTGGATCAGACGATACATTATTATAGATTCTTACTTATTCAAATAACACTTGAATGTGAGGTTTTCGCTTGTAATAAAGTGTTTATTCGAATAGGAAATGAGGAGTTTTCATCAAAGATCATCCAGTTCTGTCACACATGTATAGGGCCTTTCATTTTCATCTTTTATGCATTTTAAAGAAGTATTGATGACATTATGTGTGGAATATAACATCGTTAAAATGTCTGACACGGATTTTCTGGGTGGAGCGCATCCGACACATCCAATTTTCCATGATTCTGGCGCATACATCAGGTTGAAGAAATATGGACTTCCAGCCCAAAATCTACATCAAACAGTGACTTTTTCGGAATACATTAGACGCTATTGGATCTCATGTGGATTAGTATTGTTCCAAATTCGACAATTTTGTTCATTCAATACCCGTTCATCAAGAAATATATCTCATCTTTGAAATAGGTCTCATCGCCGATGAGCGCTCATCGCGCTCATCGAGCGCGTCAGATATTGATACCATCTATGTCCTACGTATTTTTAATAATGTTGGTATGTTAATCTGATCATTTGCATGACGTGGGTGGTTGTACGTAAGGGTTGAAAGTGAAAAGAAATTTAATGTAATCAAGTGCGTCAGACTTTCTAAGGGGGTGTTAAGTGCAACAAAAAAAAAGCTCACATTCAATAATCGACCGATTTCGATCTGACGCAAACGCGCGGCTATTATTCTAATGTGCAAAAAAATTCGTCATTTTGAAATACTCACGCGCGTCAGATTGAGACATATATGGTTCATCTTTATGTTTTAGATGTGCTGTCTCATAATCTGACGATTATCTAGAGGGATTCGCTTAATCTGACAAAAACAAAATTTTTTTGAAATATTTTTTAAATCATTGAACTAGATTAATTGAAAAGCTCACGAAATATCATGCCAATGAATAAGTGTATGTTATGTTTTTTAAGTAGAATACTTGTGTTAATAGTAAAATAATTTTTAAAAAATGCTCAAAAAATTACATTTTTCATAATCAATTGATTAATCAATGAAGAAAAGAGAAATGAAACTTTCTATGTTTTTTACCACTTTTATTTGTAACTAACGTTACTGCAGTTTCGTCCTATGAGGACATTTTCAAACTTATATATTGTATAAGTTTGAAAATGTATAAGTTTGTAATTTTAGTTACAAATAAAAGTGGCTAAAACATAAAAAGTTTCATTTCTCTTTTCTTCATTATGATTTCCTACCACGTAGTAACGGCTATCAATTAATTGATTAATTAATCATCATCTCCATCTTCATCACCATCAGCTGTGATGGTGTCATGGCAACAGAATTCAGAGTGGGGACGGAGTGTGAGAGTTATATAATAGAGAAAAAGTGAATAGAGAATACCTCGGATTATCCTGCGCACTCTCAGAAACAGCGGCAACATTGCCTTTCGTCGACATATGGGAGTTGGTCGATCGTTAACTGAACCAGTAGACTCAAATTCATACACTTATTTATATTGTTTGTGAAGCACAAAGTCGGGTTATACTAATACGACCAGTGTTGCTAGGTCATATCCATGCTCAACAGTAGATTTTGTGTAGAAAAAACAGTATATCGACATAAAATACAGTAGAAAATATATTTGAAAAATTATTTGCACAAACTTAATAACTATTATAGAAAATGAACTGGGTAATCAGTAGATTTTTGCTGTCAAACAGTGGAACAGAACTCGGCGCTCCTCTCCAGTTGAATTTTTCATGAATATATTTTCGATAAGGTATCAGTCCTGGTATTCTCAACTTTTCAACAAATATTTGCACAAATGATACAGTTTTATCTACATTTTCCTTGATATTCAGAGAATGCGACTTTGGAAAGGCATGTTGTGACATGTACATGTTGAATTATCGCCTATTACGTTCATCATCCAATAGGAAATATGAAATTATTCTAATTGGTGAATTGATAATATGCTGAAAACATATGGAATATTGTATAACAGTATCGAGAAAAATTATCTAAATTTTTTCACGTAGAATAAAAAAAATATATTTATTATTAGATTCTCAGAAATTAATTTTCGTTTCAGTTTGTTTGCTTATTAAATTAAATCATATATACAGGAGGGGCCAAAACGGAAATAATATGAAAGACTTCAAAAACTATCAGAATTACCCTCCATTCGTGTTCTGTAATTTTCTTGCAGTTTCCGAGTTATGTATTTCTCAATGTTTCTAGGAGAATTTGTGGCTGAATCGACTTGAATATTTTTTAATTTTCGTTCGAGAGGGGTTTTCTCTGATATATGACCATTTGAAATTGTTCTCTCATAAGTTTCCTAATAATAAGTTTTACGTCCGAACAAGGTTTAAGTTAAATTTTCATTTTCATATCATGCTTATGTGGTTTCCTCAATATGTTATGGTATCTTGAGTGTCCAGTAACCGGTCTGACCGGTCTGAGTAATTGTTTGAAAAATATCACGGTATCGGAAAGTACACAATCTATAAAGTATATGTTACAAGTTTGAAGACGCTGCATTGTTTAGTATTTGTTTGGCAGCCACCAATAGCGAACGTTTTCGTTGAATTTTGTGAAAATGAAGAAAATTGGTCATCGTTATGTTTATTTGAAAGACATCAGCCCAACCAATATAAACGCTCAACTGGATACTACTACTCTGGGTGAGTCTGCTCCTTCGTTTACAAGACGAACATCGCAGTGGTCTACCAAATGAGGTGACGACTTCAGGAACGATGAAAAAACCCAACAATGCGGCATCGAATGATCGTCGACTGAAAGTCCGCAAGCTAGCAGACTTAGTAAGCAGTTTAAGAAGTGCGGTAAATCGTATACTATCTGGAAATTTGTACGTGAGAAAGCTGTGTGCAAGAAAAGTGCCGCGTTTGCTCACACTCGAGCAAAAACAGTGTCGTAACACTTCAATTGAGCGTTTAGCGAAGTTTCACAGCCTCCATGTGGCGTCCAAGGACGCCACATTATAAACAAATAAACATTTTAAGTAATTATAACTGCACCATTTCGAATTTCAACACTCAAATTGCGTTCAATTCCTGAACTGAACATTGACAACACGATGACTATAACCATCCTCGCATTCTCTGATTTCTATTCGTCACCGTAACATAACTTCAAATTTAATTTTATGACTCTTCAGCCAATCATAAAACTCGGTTAGTAAAAATTATCCAATAGGAACCGCCAATTCTACAGTCCACGTGGACTATTTCGCAGCCGGTTCATTTCTATGTATTGGTTTTTTTGGTCTTTTAGAGTGCCGTCAACTTTAAGTGTGCACAATATCGTTTACTTCGACTATAACTAAAGATACTTTAGCGATTGAAACAAATAAAAATCGTAGTAGAAATCAGACAAAAGCTATTTTCTTCATCCAATAGGAACCGCCAATTCTACAGTCCACGTGGGTTAGTTCGCAGCCGGTTCATTTCTATGTATTGGTTTTTTTGGTCTTTTAGAGTGCCGTCAATTTTAAGTGTGCACAATATCGTTTACTTCGACTATAACTAAAGATACTTTAGTGACTTGAAACAAATAAAAATCGTAGTAGAAATCAGACAAAAGCTCTTGTCTTCATCCAATAGGAACCGCCAATTCTACAGTCCACGTGGGTTAGTTCGCAGCCGGTTCATTTCTATGTATTGGTTTTTTAGTCTTTCAGATTGCCGTCAACTTTAAGTGTGCACAATATCGTTTGCTTCGACTATAACTAAAGATACTTCAGTTACTTGAAACAAATAAAAATCGTAATAGAAATCAGACAAAAGCTATTTTCTTCATCCAATATTCATAGATAGAGTATGATAAATTTTAACAATGAGTCTTCACGTTCTGTTTATTTTTAGGCTTTGATGACCCTTTTGATGGTTGGAAAAAGCTGCTATCCTGATTATGAAATATATTGATCATATCAACTGTTTTTCTTTCGGTTGAACATAACATTTTTGAACATTACTGGAGTTTTATCCTGACACAGAACCGTTATTTTTTACACCTCGACACGTGTTTCAATCGCCAAGTGATAATATTCAAGACGTATATTAAATTTTAGTTTAATATTCCTTTTGAAGATGATCACTTGGTGATTGAAACACGTGTTGAGGTGTTAAAAATAACGGTTTGGGATAAAACTCCGGTAATATTCATTACTACTCCAAAGGTTCCGAACAGTGCATCACAAGTATAACTCTTTTTGTACAGGAATCATATTTTTTCATAAATTCTGGTTTTATAATTAATCATCTCCATCATTCAGCCATAAATGAAAATCCCCTTCCATCCATCCATAAGTGCAAAGATTTTTCACAACCCAATAGACTTTGCGGAAGGCCTGATTAGTCATTTTCATTATGTCTGAAAGTTGTTTACAATTGTTTTGTTTTCAACTCCGTCGTTTGACATCGATCCAACTCTAATTATAATACGTACAATATGCCAAACCCCACCCAAAACAAAAATAGTAAAAAATTCCCATGTTTATTTCTACTCTGTGTCCAATACAATACTTACCCCTTCTTATTTTTTCAGATACAAATGTGTTCTATGGACTACGAGATGCTGGTCTCTCACAGTCCGCCAGTTTTCAGTCACAGTCCGCCGACAGGAGGTTTTCTAACGGAGTATGCGGCTCTGAGGCTAGGACAAGATTCATTCCCGCGCGCTGCCTTCAGTACTTGCCGAACCATCCAACACTCGAACTCATTCAGCGGCTTCGCGAAGGCGCCTACAAAAATGCCAGCTTCTCCGAAGCGACCTTGTCTAGTGATAAGACCCAACGAAGAATCATCCAGTTCGAGCGATGAGGACCCGACCAGTCCGACGCGATTGAAAAAAAAAGTCGTCTTCGCCGATGACAAGGGCATGTCTCTCACCCACGTCAGGGTCATGACGGAACCCTCCAATGTACCGCCCCTCTGGAGCTTCCGATTCCTGTCAGAAGTGACGCAGGGTATCAACGCGGATCCAGTCGGAGAAGTAGACTCTTGGGAAGTAACGTTTCCTCAGCCTGCTTCGGATTACGTGGCATTCAGGAAGCGACTGGACTCGGAGAAAGTTTCTTTGGAGAACGTCATCGTGAAGGAGTGCGAGGACACCATCCTGGGAACTATTAAAGTCAGCAACATGTCCTTCCAGAAAGAAGTAATCGTTCGGTCTTCGACGAACGACTGGAAAACATACGAAGACTCTTTCTGTGTTTATGTGCCTAACAACATCACCTCCAGTGTTGGTCCTGCGTACGTTTTGTACGACACCTTTTCCTTCAAAATACCCCTTCCCCCAAAGGTGAAAAAGGTAGAGTTCTGTGTGTGCTTCAGATGTGAGGGAAATGAATACTGGGACAACAACCATGGGAATAACTACGTCCTAGTGAAAAAGATGCCCGTTCCTTTGCACAAGTCCTTGTCTAACGATGACTTGTATAATCGGAAAAATAGTCAAACGCAACCTCAGGTAATAAAAAAGTGCGCGGATATAGTACAAGCTAAAATGGATTCTTGGTCGGAGTTCGCTAGTTGGACACATTTAGAGAACTCGAGCCCTTACTGGTAATGCCTTACCTTACTCGACTTAACATGGAAAAAGGCAGCATGTTGGTTGTAAAATTGTTAGTATGTTTCTTTTCTGGTCATTCTCGCTGATCATTCATTTCTATCATCAGCTAACTTTTCTCCGTTATTCCGCAATAGATGTGGCTCTTTATGTTGTCGATATCAAGGAATATTCTCGTTGTTATCGTGTTTTTGATGATAACTACAGAGTTTATATAGACTACATGATTAAAGTCATTATGCATAAATATTTTCATATTCAATAAAAGATATAATTCATTGCTCTTATTGAGATATGATGATATTTTTGTAGAAATGTAGTCCAGTTGAATGTTTGGTTGAAATAGTGGCGACTTAAATATTGTACCAAAAATTACACTTGAGTAAAATCCTAAACTTTAGTAGTATGGTAACAATAGTAAGAGTTTGGTATGGCTTTGTGGGTATATCAATTTGGAATTCAACAATATAAAGAAAAACCACACTCATTGATTTTGCTCTTTAATTATTGAAGACGGATATTAATAACATTTTCATGGCATCACATCACATATTTTTGGACGACCAGTTAACATCTTGAACATCAGTTCAATATAAAACCAAATAAAACATGAGCCAGGGTTCATTCGATTTGGAATGACTACGAGACAGTGTACATCTGAAGAAGGTAGAAAATTTGCAATAAAATAGCCTGGACTCTTGAATTCTCTCTACCAGAAATAGGGTTTCGAACCGCTTTCCATTTCATTGTCACAAGAACGGTCGATTAACTTTTTTATAGTATTAAATGACCCAAAATTTTAAAAAAAACTTTCTATTCAAATACTCGCATTGATGTAATTCAATAAGGATTTTTCTTGTCAATTTCCACGACTGAAGATGTGATTTTTTCTATCATTTTCAAGCAATGTCTTGTAAATGTGCAGACCTTTATATAACTGCCCTTCATAAAATTAACACAAAAGTTCATCTTGAATGTTTGATTTGAAAAAAATCACAAAAACAAAAATACCTGTGAACTTTTATTATTTGAAAATAAGTGATTTGACATTTTCAACTCCACTAAAATTTTATCACTGTATCTATTACCTATGCAATTATTTTGTTGCTAATTTGCCTTTCACCAAACGGTTTATATGTCATTCTGTATCGAGGTCCGGCACATATTACATTTTATGTTATCTCATGTCAAAACTTTTTCAAGATTTTGACTGGTCTAATTAACATTATCATCAAGCGGAGTGAACTTTATTAATACTGGCAAACGTTGATAACCGTATAGTTTTGACTGGAGGTGTGAGCATATCACACAGGATATGTTATGCTATGTTTTCAATGGTGTTATATTTTAAGATTATTAACCATTGTCTATTTATATGCCTCTTATCAAAGATTCCAGATTGATCTGGAAGCAACACTTAGAATAAAAGAAAGATTGGAGGTATCTGTATCTTGTAGAGTAGGGAGGGTGAATGTAAGCCCACAGCACTTAGGCCACATGTGACCCATTGTACATCCTCCCAAGGAGGATGACCTGTCCACCTTCCTCCAGTCCTAAAATTCTTAGTCCAGTCGGCAATGCGATTACCTTTACTCTTGCCGTGCCTCTTAACCCACCTCAGGCTTTGACTAAATTTCGGTGACTTCAGTAGCAGCCCTGAGGTTACACATTGTCTGTTCAAGGGCTTGCGTGCTGTCAGTGCATATTGTTATGTTTAGATTGAAACTCTTATCATTTCATCAACACAAGGAGTTGTCATTCTCAAGAAAGTTTTGTCTGTAAAATATAAGTATAATAAACATTCATATTAAACAGTGATAATACTGCAGATACTAAGCAATAATACACTGGAGGACAACTATGAAAGGTACCAGAATATCAATTTATATATTTTCTGTTCAATACCTACCTCTTGAAGTACTTTGTTGCAAATGCAAATAATTTTGTATTGACAAAAATCAATATATTGAAAGAAATGACAAAATCGGACATAACATACTGAGAATATCTTTGAAACATGTATATTATTTAGTCATTCTCTTTATGTAATACCATTTGAACCGAATATAAGGTGACAGAAATTTGCATCTACTTCAAATTTGACTTTCATAGGCGATTGAAATGGATCACACAATATTTTTAAAACCATTACTCAAATAAATATTATTTTTGGTAATCACACAAAAATCGGCTGTTTGATTTATTACTTGTCTAATAAAAAAAGTCGTTGAAAGTGTCAGATTTCCATAAAATCAATATTTTTTTCCATAGTTCTCACTGTGCTCTTGTCCTATGTTTGTTTCAAAACCTTTCAATTCTGACTTTGAATGAGTCTGATTTTTAGTCACTTAACGTCTCGAATATACTCCTTCATCAGTAAAAGAAGGTCCTTTCCTTCCCTGAATAACTCCACCTAACGACTGTTTAAAAAAAAAAAGGAAAAAGTCAATTTTATTGTTCACAGTTTTTCTGGACACGAATGTAATATTTAGCAATATTCTAGTTCATTTCAGACCTCCGTACTATGGTATTTATGGTTTGCATCATATGGAATTATTTTTGAAATTGTTGATATGCTGTTCATATAATATACTTATCCTTCAACAAGTTTTGATATTGACACGTTGTCACAAATAATGAGGTACAAAGACCAATATTGTTCATACTCAGGTTTACATGAAAAAAAGTGAAGAATTACTTTAAGATAGGAAACGTGGATTATTGAAGAANGAGCTTTTTTCTACAATTTAAAAATTTTTACAGCCCCAGTTGAGTTGCCCCAGAGTATAACACCATAGCTAATGTGAGAATGGAAGAGGGAGAAATGTGTTATTTTTAGTGTATCGAAACCAGTTATATTTCTCAACTGACGCAATAAAAAGACATCTAGATAATTTTTTACTCAATTGGTCAATATGACAGGTCTAAGTGAGAGTACTATTGACAACTAACCCAAGTAATTTAACACTGTTTGCACTTGATGAAGCGGCAGAGCTTGCTGAAAACTGTAACTGTTTCGTTTTATCTATGTTCAGTTTGAGTAGATTTGACACGAACCAACTTTCTGACTTCTCATCGACTTCCTTTGATATTCTAGAAAGTTCAATAGAATTTTTGTCAGGATAAATAAATGTAATGTAATCGGCAAACAAAACAGATTTATATGGATGCATGAAATTACTAATATCATTCACGTAAATTATGAATATAAGTGGTCTCAATACTGATCCTTGGGGAACACAATGTTTAACGAGTTTTACATTCGAAATGTAATTATTGCTACTGACTGCTTGATATCTATTCGATAAATATGATTTTATGAGGGATAGAGATACCCCCTGACGCCATGGTAATATAGTTTTTCCAATAATATGTCGTGAGAGACCCAGTCGAACGCCTTAGAGAGGTCGCAGAGCGTAATAGCTGTTTAGTTACCTTGCTCGAGATGGTCGACTACTTCACTCACCACATTGAGTTGATCCATCACTAGTGACTTTGAAATCAGGTTAATCAACTCATAGGGAAAAAATTGACATTACCAAAAAAGTAGAGAATACGATTCATTTTCGGTCCATGGACCGATTCAATTTACGAGTTCCTGTTATATGTCTACAAGTAGTAGGTTAGGTTAGGTTAGGTCCAAAGTGATTGGGTCTTTTTGACCCTCCACCGCAACCCGCAAGGGTTTATTGTGGCTCACGCCTTTTCACACTCGACCAAATATACCCAGCTTCTAAACGAAGCCGATTGATTTGTATGGTGAGTGGTCTTTCAGGTCAGGTTGAAGAAATATGGACCGATGATACCGCCAGCCCAAAATCCACATCAAACAGTGACTTTTTCGGAATACATTGGACGCTTTTGGATCTCATGTGGATTGGTATTGATCAAGAAATAGATCTCATCGCTGAAATAGGTCTCATCGCCAATGAGCACTCATCGAGCGCATCATATAGTGATTCCATCAATGTCCTACGTATTTTTAATAATCTTGGTATGTTAATCTGATCGTTTGCATGATGTGGGTGGTTGTACGTAAGGGTTAAAAGTGAAAAGAAAAAGAATTTAATCGAGCGCGTCAGATTTTCTAAGGGGGTGTTAAGTGCAACAAAAAAAGGTCTCATCCAATAATCTGACGATTTCGATCTGACGCAAACGTGCGGCCATTACTATAATGTGCAAAAAAATTCGCCCTTTTGAAATACTCAAGCGCGTCAGATTAAGACATATATGGTTCATCTTAATGTGCTGTCGTATATTCTGACGATTATCTAAAGGGATTCGCTTAATCTGACAAAAACAATATTTTTTTATTTTTTTTTTTAATTCATTGAACTTAATTAATCAATATGTTTAAATAATTTTTTTTTGTTTTTATGTCAGAGTGACGAAAGGCGCGCGGAAGCCAGACTACCCGCTTTTGGCTCTATTTTCAGGGGAAATACAATTTAT